AAACACTTTTAGAGTCCAACTCTGTTCTACTTTGAAGGATCCGGCAGAGATGAAAAGAACACAGATATATTCACTGATATCTTATTACTTAAGATTATTATTACGTTGTGTCAGCCTGGCGCAGTGGTAGCTCTCTCACCTCAGAGTCAGACAGTTATTAGTATTATTATTATAGTTGTGAATTCAAGCCCCACCGTCGGGACTTGGAATCACAAAGTCTTCTAAGCTAATGTTCCAATGCAGCGCTGGGGGCTGTTGCATTGTTAGAGATGCCATCCTTCGAATCAGACGCTAAACCAAGATCTCGCCTGCCTGTTCATGTGGATGTTACAGATCCCAATGCACTATTCAAAAAGAGAAGGGAGTTTCTCTCTCCTGATGTCCTGGCCAACAATCCCCCAAATAAAATTGGTCACTCACACTGTTTGTGGGATATTACTGTGCGCATTTGGCTGCTGCATTTCATCCACAAAATACACAGTCACTCCATTTTACAGTACATCCTGTGAACATTTGAGACGTTTTGACAATGCGGTAAGGCGCTGTATCAAATGCATTATTAATTAATTTATTATTATGAGGTTGGATACTCTCATAGGAAACTCTTTTGAATTCACTCTGGGGGCCAGAGTGTGGGGGAGGGGGCGGAGGATTGAGACTTTTTCATACTCAAAAAAATCTTTAATTCCGAGGATCAATATAATCCATAATCCAGAGGAAATAAATCAGAAAGGCAATAATGCACATTAATAAGCAGTTAGGAAGAGGGAAGAGAGAAGGAGAACCAATGCCTGAACGGCAGTGACAGGCCACAGAATGACCAGAGGGAGCAGAAACTGTGCCCATGTTGCTTGCAAAGTGTGAGTCAATAATTCAATCTTGCATTTGCTTAAGCGCCTTTCACATCAGGAGGATGTCTTAACAATACATTGTAACGTGCAGCGACTGTGTATTCTTGTAGGCAAATGTGGCAGCCGTTTGTAGGTGACACATTTGTATGTGACAAACTGAATGACCCTTTTTTTTATCATCTGGGTGAAGATTGTTGCCAGGACACTGGGAGAGAGATACTCCTTTCTATTTACAAGTAGCGCCGCGGATCTTTAACATCCTCCTAAACAGGATACTAGACGAGAAGAGCTTGGTTTATCGTCTCATCTGAAGGATTGTAAAAGGGGAGGGAGGAGGTTGTAAAGAAGAGGAGGTGGGGAATTGGAATTATTCAAGGGACGTTCACCTTCCCTTTGAAAGCAGAAAATGTGCTTATCTGCAAGATGCTTAATAAACACCCTGGCAATCAACGCATTTCACAAAAAAATAGACTTTCTCAGTGTCATTTTAGTTTACAAACAAATCCATTTTAATTTAAAAAGAAGATTGCATTAGGCAGAAATCCAGTCAATTCCTTCCCCACACCAGGCCAGCTCCTATTTCCTCCCCATCCCCCACACAAAGAAAACCTACATACCTGTGCACCTCTGCTGTCACTTACATAGTAAATCAGACACGTGAATTTCAGGCGTTTTAGTGGACAATGAGATTGCAAAACACAACCACAGGGGAAAAAAATGGAGTTCACAAGTGTTTCTTCTTTTTATATGAATGATCCCTGAATCAATCAATTAATAAATAAAACAGGACTTTTTTTTGTTGGAGGAGGGGAGGGGAAATTGATCAGGTTGGCATTTGCTAGGTTTCCACATTAAAGCCTGCTTCACAGCTGTGATGCCCACGCAGTTAGACAGTAATTAATAATAAGCCTTGCATTTGATATAGCGTCTTATCACATCTTGGAGACATTTTAAAACATTTCACAGAATATACTGTAAAGTGAATTGATTATATATTTGTGGACATAACGTGGTAGTCAATTGCGCACAGCAGTGTCCCACAAACAAGCGTGGATTGAGTGACCAATTTATTTATTATTACTTTTTATTGAAGGAATTATTACCCCCGGAAAAGCGATCCGCCATTCGACAAAAAACTACTAACTACTAGGTAAACAGAGGCGTGTGGAGTAAAGAAACTTACCTAATGTTTTGCCCTGCCGGGAATCGAACCAAGGTCTTGGTAGACTTTCTATTTATTGCTCTTAAAATATATATATTTTAATGCTCTTCAATAACTGGACTTGGAAAAATAATCTAATCAAATAGCTATTCTGTGCCTCGGGCACCCGGTTGCTATTCGATTGGCAGATTGTCTCCGAGGCTAATATTCCTCCCCTCCCCACCAAAAAAATGTGGTCATTCAATCCACGATTGTTTGTGGGACACTGCTGTGCACAATTGGCTGTCACATTTTGCCCACAAAATACACAGTCACTCCTCTTTATAATACTGTATATTCTGTGAAGCGCTTTGAGACGTCTCAATGTCTGAGGATTATTATTATTATCACGTCAGGTCACTAGGCGGAGGAGGGAACAAAATCTATAGGTTAAAGACAGAGCATTATGTAACGTGATTAAAGCTGCAAGGCGCTAAATATAGGGCAA